TAATCTCGAATATTCCGTCAGATATTTCTAGACGTGGTCGTTAAAAGGGTTAGCGTGACCCGGCGTTAATTATTCCAAGGGCTAGCGCACGACAGAAATAAAATACGCGGCGTGCTGGCCCTCTCCTCCGCGCCGTTACTCTCCAAGAGGGGTGAATTACCCGTGACTCGATTAAAGAGACGCGATTCCTCTGGCCGGCCGAAGAAACTCTTTTGATCTCTCGTCTCCTCTTTTCCACGCTCTTCATCGCGTTTCACCGGGTATCTGCTTCCAGATTCTCGCGCTTTTAATATTCAAATAAATCCACCCCGTCCTCCCTTCGCCTATCTTTCAATCGCGACCGCTGAACATTCGCCAAACACCCCCTCCTCTCTCTCTCTCTTTTTTTTTTCAACGTATGTACGCGCGTGTACGGATTGAAGTGTGCTTTGGAATTTATCAGGGAAATGTTTACCTCGGTTGCTGCGAGGATGCGCTGGGATCCTGATGGAATACGTGTCTGAGGGATCTGTGCAATTTTATGGATAATTCATCCGCATGTATTCTCGAGCTTGATTGAACTACTTACATACGTGCTACGGTGGAGCAATCTGAAACATTTAGAACTGTCTGATTTGGTGGTGTTTGTGATTGGAAAATAATTGGGCTGTGTTGTTTTATGGGAGCTGTAACACTGTCGTTCGTAGGTATTAGGGCATCTTTTATGTTCGTGTGGGAATTATGACGCTGAGGAATATATTATATTGTAATTTCGGGTGGGTGTTTGTTTGTTTTTGTATAGGAAAAGTGGATAAAGGCTAATTTATTAATTGGATATTCGGTCATAAAACACTTCAAGGCAGGCAAGGCGAGGGATTAGTCGACACGGCCTGCAAATTTAATTTCCAACAGTGCAATAACCAAAACCCTCCCATCTGGCTACCAGAAGCGGCCAACTTAGCGACCGACCAGGAAACAGTAGGGATTCCCTGCAATATAACAAACATTTTTTAGCAACAATCTCCCTACCTTCTCGACACCCTACCAGAATATTGGAACACCAATGGACACATCTCGACCACCTCCACTACACATTTAGACAGCAAATCAGAACACACACAGAATATATAAATTGACACGCACAGACACTCAAACATTATTATTATTTTCGTAACACATCATACCTTTCGATATACATTCGACACATATATCGTTGTTCAATATTGTGTTTGATACAATCAAAAATTCATACAGTCCACTATCCAATTGCATACTTCGAAAGACTTCACTGGAATCCACTAAAAGGAAACCAGTTCGAAGTCCGCGTCATACTATCGTCGCGGAAATACTCGTCGACGCTGTGACGCGATAACATAGGATGTTAACTCTCGTTCATAAGTATTAGGACACTTATTGTATTCGTGCAGAATGTATTACATAGATGATTCAAATTACATTTCTTAGCCAAAGCTAATATTACATATTAGTAAAAATATATACATATGTATGTGTACTCGTTATACTTGGAGATTCTAGAATGAATTTTTTTTTTTTAGGATCTTAACCCTTTGAACTCCAAATTTCTTTTTATATTTTCTTTTCAATAACTCCCTATTATTTTAAGTAATTTATTTGAAATGTACTTTAAAAGACATTTCGTTGATAGGAGTCAACTTTAATCAATGTTTTTTGCTAATTATATTGAAAACAGCATTAAGGGACATCTATATGTGTATCTATTGCTTATCCAGGTAAAAAAAGACATTGCAAAGTGTAATACATATTTAGACTGATAATTTAAAAATTATTTCATTTATACATGTGAAGAAAACTGATGTCGAGTCACACTCGACAAAGGAGTTCAAAAGGTTAATAAATTTGTAATGATTTTTGCATATCAATGTATTCAATAACTTTGTGCATTAGTGTATTCAATAAGTAGATTTTAGTAGAATTCAGTAGATTTCAGAAGATTTTAGTAAAATTGAGTAGATTACAGTAGATTTCCGTAGATTTCAGGAGCTTTCAACAAATATTAGTGGTTCTGCAGATTTTAGTAAATTTTAGTAGATTTCAGCAGAGTTCAGTGGATTTCAATAATTCTCAATAGAATTCAGTACATTTCGTATGTTTCACATTCAGTAAGTGTCCTAATACTTATGAACAGGAATGTACACTACTGCTACCACGTACTTGTTAAGATATTTCCAAGAGTTTCTGATTTTTCAAAAAAGTTTCACTTTCAAGGACTTTCTATCTTTTGCCTTTTGATTTCTTTCAAGCCTCCGTTCAAGTTCCGACATTTTTCATACTTCCACGTTTCTCTTATTCCTACTCCTTTCTTTCTCCATAGAAACTCTCACAATTTCTCTGCTACTCGTAACTAACTCGAATTAACCTCGTACGAGTACTTAAAACGCGAATATACAAACTGCAATTAAGAAATACTTTACATTCGCAAGTTAACGATGTTTATCACTCGGTACTTTTGCTCGTGACGTACAAAAAAGTGTCTCACTTATCCATCGTGCGCTTACAGTGGAAAGATTGGGCGAGTACAAATTAGAAATTAAGGGAAACTTTTTCAACGTAGATTTATGGCGAGCTTAGACTTTAAGAGTTTTCCCCCTGCTTTTTACGCCTTAACGCTGAATACTTTCGGTGTTTCCACAAGGGGAAGCCTGGGAAATGTTCCGGCACGATGATAGAGGACGTTCTCTCTTAATTATTTTCTCTAAATACAGTAGTGCACACACAAGCGTCCGCAGTCGGGACCGAATGCGGACGCTTAAGTGGGGAGGTGACTTTTGCGAATTTAACTAGACAAAAGAGAGGAGATGTGCTGTGTGGGATACCGATATATCAAGTGTCAGTTGTTCACATTCAGGAGTCGATGTCGAATTACTTTGTTTCACACGGCACGCTCGAACTCCACTTCGAAGTCCCATCTCCAAGAATTGGTGGGGATAGCGACGGACGCTTAAGTGTGCAAAAATGTGGACGCTTATGCGTGCAGTACTGTACACACTTTCTGATTTGAAGTATAAAAATTGACTTACCGTCGGGAACCGCATGGCTGGTCATTAGGAAGTTGACACAGGCTGCACCAGTCCCATGACCGATTAACGTCACGTTTCCTGGATCGCCGCCGAAGTATCCGATATTCTCCTGCACCCAGTGTAGCGCCGCGATCTGGTCCATCAGCCCGTAATTCGCTGGCGAGCGTAAGTGCGAATCCGTGTTGGCGTTTAGAAAGCCTGTAATCAAAACACGCCCGCTTATGCCAGTTTCCCCACGAGTCTGGTTTTCGCGGCGATCCGCCGCGGAACCGCGATTCAATTATCGCCATCCCCATCGTAATCAGGATTAGTCCGTATCGGTGTACTTAATTGCTCGACGTTAAATTAGTTTCTTTGACCCTGTCTTTGGTTTCACTTTGTCACTGCAATTCTCTCTTTTCCCCCTTCTTTCTACTTGAACTATTCGCTTTTTCAACTTTACTTCCTTGCTTTTTTTTTTGTAGTCTCGTTACCTTTGATTTATATTTGTACCTCTAACCTGTAATTATTTCGTTTTTTTTTTACATTCACTGAAAATGGTTATTCTTTAAGTTAAATATTGGGTTGCTGCATGAGTTCTGTTTGCTGTTTCGTTCGCATAAATCACATATGGGCAACCCCCGGCCCTGATCTATTTCAACGAAGTTTGTCTTCAGTCTTTGCATTAAATTGTTATGTCGTTTGTCGTGTACTCGCGTCGGTTTGAGTTATGTTTCAAACTTGGATCACGAGAGAAAAATCGGACTGTTTTCTAACGAGGTCTGAAGCGATCCTGGAATACCCTTTCTCCAACGTTATAATATAAACGACTTGATTATGCGTTCAGCGCTCGGACTGATTCAATACTTGGTTGTTTAACGTTCAGAATGATACTGATTCGAAATTCAGAGGAAGTCACGCATCTCAGCTACTGAGGGCGGAGTTTAATTTTGGAAGTGAAAAATGGGAGAAATAAGAACATTAAGTATTGGTCGTAGGGTGTGGTGGTGGGAAGTGGTGGTAGAAGGATGAGGTGTCGGGGTTTTGGGGAATTCCGAAAAAAAGGAGATAGGACATGAGAGAAGGAAGACACTAGTTCAGTAATTGGAAAATCGGGACAATGGTTAATAAACTGAGTTCTGGTGGTGAAATTACCGAGGGTACGCGCTTAATAACGGCCCCGGCTAATCCTATGGGTCGCGGATTCTTCAGGCCCGTCTTACAATTTCCTTAAGCTATAAAAATAAAAGGAGAAAGGCTCGATGCGAAAATAGACAAAAAAATGTTCGGTACGGAACATCGTTCGTTATATTATAAAATTTACGTAGAGCTTTATACCAAAGCATTGTATCATAAATAAATGGAATATGAAGTAGCAACTTGTTTTAATTCATTTAATATTCATTTATTTTATTTAATAATTTGGTCCGGCCCTTGACTCGGAGACAGAATGATAATTTGGCCCCCGGAACTAGGAAAGGTTGCCCATGCCTGGTATAAATGGTCTATCCGTGACGATTGGTTGAGGAAAATGCAGAATTGACTGTCTATAAGGTTGCGTCTGAGCTTGGAATTCAAAATTCAACAATACATAAGATATTTATATTTAATAATTTCATCTACATTCTATTAATTAATACAATCTCTTATAAATCTACGAACTTAATTGACACGTTTGTAAATTAGTGCATATTCATAAAAGCATTTGATAACTAATAAGTAGACTAATATTTATTTGTTATTAAGAACATATTTTAATATAATTCAGATATTCTAGTGTAATAGTTTAATTTTAGGAGGCCGAGCTTATAAATTTGTAGACGTATCATTAACTAATCAAAGTGAAATTGGTGTAATGGGTTTCCACAATAGCGGATTTATTAAACAGTGGACAAATTTAATGGACCGCGTCTCTGTGTCTATGTTTCGCTTCGTCGCCTTTGATTTTTTGAATTTCCGATCACTACGAAACAATTTAGACGGAAAAAACTTGAATAATTTCGAAGCCGTAAAAGGTGCAACGAGTTCTCTTTTTAATGATAAATGCGAAAAGTTTGATGAAAAATGCAAAAACAAGTTCCACATATATAGGCGAGAAACTGTCATAAATAATGATGGCAAATAGAAGCTGTTTCCAAAAATGTACTCTAACTGACAAAACTTATGCAGCAACCTAATACATCTATCGTAAAAGTAGCTTTATCTTGGATCGGTATAATTAAATTCCTCAGCCAGCATACATTTCACGAAAATGGAATAAGAGAGGAAAAAAAATCCTTCCATCTCCTCTGAAAAACGCAATACACGAGTAAGAAGACCCTCTCAACAGCCTCCAAGATGGAGCGTCGCGAGATGAAACGCGAAATATCTTCGAATCGACGACGTTCTTGACCTACACTCCGATCCGTGTCTATATAGACTATCTCACGTCTTTGCACATAAACGCACCTAAACCAATTTCCGAGCATGTTTTCCCCCTTTTTCTAAAAAGGAGGCAAGTAAGAAAGGAAGGTAGATTATCGTTCAAAGGGAAATGAAGGTACTCGACGCGCGAAAGGCACTTTTCCATTACCGAACAGCCATCGCTTTTCTGGCTAGTTGTGCTTCCGTTTGCCATAAATACCATCGAAGGTAGATTATCGTTCAAAGGGAAATGAAGGTACTCGACGCGCGAAAGGCACTTTCCATTACCGAACAGCCATCGCTTTTCTGGCTAGTTGTGCTTCCGTTTGCCATAAATACCATTTCAATGGTGCTACATCGATTGATAGCGATATCTCGCGACCGTTCGAACGATATGCAAAATAGAACACGCCAGGGTACCGATGAATAAATCGTTCGATTATTTGATCGGCAAACCCGAGCCCGTTCCCAGATTCATTGTCGTTTAATTGGACCCGATGGTTCGCAGAATTTCATCCAGTTGAATTTTTATTTCCTAGCCTTGTTTTTTTTTCTTCGTCTCTTCCTCTTGTTTTGGTCACTCCGTGTTCCCGGAAATAGCGTCGCAACTATTAACGAACTCTTCATTGACGTGAGAGGAATTTTTTATGCCCGCTTAAAGCCGCTCGATCGAAATTGATTCTACCGCTGTGGGAAGCTTCGTATTGATGAGGTGGACCTTAACGTTTCAGAGTTTCTTGTGTAAGCTTTCGTGGTTTTCGAGACTGAGCAGGTGTAGTTTAAACTGAAATGTATTTAATAGATAATAAAACTGTAGGGGATTTATGTGAGGAGGGGTAGTAAACTCGAACGGACTTTTGACTATGCTATATTTATTAATACTTTATACTGCTAGGTGCTACGCTAAGGATGTCGCTCAATCAATCGCTGGATTCACACTGCCTTTCGCTCCCTCGCATTCGCCCTAATGTCATCTTGCATACATGCACACTTTTCGTTAGAAGAAAACACACACGCACTCACGCACTCCTCGCCTGATTACTAAAACTAAACATTCGTTCAATATCTTTCGCGCTATCCCAAACACTCGACCTGACACGCCGGTCCTTACCGCTTACGGCTTAGACCCTCACATCTTCACACAGACAACGCATTCATACAAACAACGCACTCACGCTCGGTCATCCCTACAAAACTCTAATGTAATTCCACGCAAGATTGCTCTATTGTCTGCGACATTGTCACCACAATGATTTTCATTAACTATGCTGTGACTCTCTTATTATGTTCTCCACACTGTCTTACTGACTTTTCTCTGTGGACCCGCGCACACATCTTCCAGACTCTTTTATCCTTGCACTCACACATTTTCTAACTATCTCCCTATTACTATTTTTCTCTCATTATTTTCCTAGACCTTTTAATTCTCAAGAAATTCCAGAAAATGTGTCTTCGATCACCTAATTTAAGGGCATTTTTCACACCTTCGATGTGAACGATTGCCCATAAATCGGCTTGTGTGAGTTCGATATGTTCCCTTGCTAATATAATTTCACGTAAAACTATGCTACAGTCTCTCAAAACCACAATGACTCTCATTAACTATACTGTGACTCTTTGATTCCACTCTGTTCTCTACACTGTCCTACTACACTGACTTTTCCACTCTGACTCCACACACGCATCTTTCACTCGCTTTTATTTTTGCACTCGCATATTCTGTCTCTTTCTGTTACTATTCTCCTCACATTCTACGCAGAAATTCCTCGGAGACATTCAGTCACATCCACCCAAATCCTTGGGTGGCCACGCACACTCCGTTCACACGATATTCTCAAGTATAGTCGGTGGAACCGATATAGTGAGATCGTAAAATCAGTCAGGTGTCAAAGTAACCAAAACAGCAATTCGAAGGAGATAAGAAGCTCGACTCCCGCTCAAAGCCGTTCGATGTCAACTCGGAATTGCCACTTCCATTTCGGTATATTTAAAAAATTTGTCTGCGACTTAATCGTTTAAGTCCTACTCCAATTAAATCCTTGTCCTATCGAACAAGAGGTGACAGTGTTTAATACCGCACAGCTTAAATGAAAGATTGAAAACAGAAATTTTAAATATCAATTCACAAATGATGAATGGTACTGGATGCGGCTACATCAATCTGTGTCGCCGTTTAATGCTCTAATTTACGACCTCGCTATTTCGCTTCCACCGACTATACTCTCTCCCAACACTCTTCTTTCGCACCTTTATCATTCTCCATTCACGCATCTCTCGTTCCAAACTGAACACGCACAGAAATTCTACCACTCCTACATGATCGTTTTCCTTAACTTTCTCTTTATGCATTCTTCCTGAAGGCAATAATTTTTTAGGAAGATACATCGTACCTTCGAGGTCTGAAGGAAAATTCATTTCTCTTTTAAAGGAACGATAGAACCCACTTGTTGTGCCTAACACCTCGAGAATATACCTTATCCTCTTCTCTACAGAACGTCCCAGAAATTTCGCAAGGACGGAGAATGAATTTTCAGCGGGAACAGTCTCTGAGAGGCTGGCGTAGTAAGTCAAACTTCCGAATGATAACTTCGAACATCTGTTGCAATACTTAGCGAGGCAATAAAGAGTTTAATAAGTTCCCACGGAGAAACTTTCCAACCGGTTAAGGAGCTTTAACTTTAAAAGGAACTTGCACTCGTTCGACTACAATGATTCAATTGACGAACTTGTGAAATACAAGGGTGAAAGAAGAAAAAAAAGCAACCCCCATTTTTTCTCTCCTCCATTTCTTTCTGTGTGCCTGTTCGATGGAACGT